GGTTCTAGCACCACCTATGAGGATCGTGGGGTGTTCTAGCACCACCTGTGAAAATCGTGGGGTGTTCTAGCACCACCTGTGAAAATCGTAGGGTGTTCTAGCACCACCTGTGAAAATCGTGGAGGTTTTATCAGCACTTGTGAGGATCGTGGTGATAGTACCACTGACAATGTGATATTGAACGCAGACAGTTTTCAGTTGCTACGTTATGGAAGGAGTGAAGATACAATAACAAGATGGGAGTACAACAAAACTGAAAATCATTCAAGAGAACGTAATTATAATGTGAGAGACCTGAGAGTGATAATGTCACATCTCACGTTCAAGGAGCACAGCAAAGTTACTATTGAAACTAAAAGGATAGTGATAGGTCGGATAACTAGAACTTTCAAAACAAAAGATGCCAAGCCAATGACAAGTCACTCATACTCTCCAGACTGGAATATTGCTGAGTACTAACGGTCTCCTTCGAGGCAGACGGAATTGCAGAAATGGAACATGTACAGAGAACGTTCATAGTTCGTATAAACTCAGACAAGGCGCCAACATCCTCCCTTCATACATATGGGGACTTACCTTAGGAGTCTATAAAGGGGAACGCGATAAATTCAACAAATCAGTTCCTTATTAACCGGGCTGTGGTGAATACGCTGGACTGTGGGCACCGACAGACTGATCAGTTAGGCCAACAACCAAGAAGCCTGGTCTGGGACCGGGGCGCGGGGGCAGTGATCTCCAGAAGACTACAGGTAACTGGTGATAAACATTATCCTAGCATTCCTAGTCTCCCACCACCCCTGCTGTACACAGGTACTACCACCCCTGCTGTACATAGGTACTACCACCCCTGCTGTACACAGGTACTACCACCCCTGCTGTACACAGGTACTACAACCCCTGCTGTACACAGGTACTACCACCCCTGCTGTACACAGGTACTACCACCCCTGCTGTACATAGGTACTACCACCCCTGCTGTACACAGGTACTACCACCCCAGCTGTACACAGGTACTACCACCCCTGCTGTACACAGGTACTACCACCCCAGCTGTACACAGGTACTACCACCCATGCTGTACAAAGGTACTACCACCCCTGCTGTACACAGGTACTACCACCCCTGCTGTACACAGGTACTACCACCCCTGCTGTACACAGGTACTACCACCCCTGCTGTACACAGGTACTACCACCCCTGCTGTACACAGGTACTACCACCCCTGCTGTACATAGGTACTACCACCCCTGCTGTACACAGGTACTACCACCCCTGCTGTACATAGGTACTACCACCCCTGCTGTACACAGGTACCACCGGTCCTGCTGTACATAGGTACTACAACCACCCCGGCTGCACACAGGTACTACTACCACATCTGCTGTACACAGTTACTACTACCACCCCTCCACTACACAGGTGACGCCGGCACCACAGGCACCTCCACATACACAGGTACTCATAACGGACAGCGTGAGAACTTTGTTCGCAGACTCATTAACTACCGTTATATCCTACAGTAGGACCTACTGTAGAGAAAAATTATGTACTTTCAGTCTTACTTGGGGAAAATTGAATTAACTGTGACCTGTGTACAGGTCCCAATTGAATTAACTGTGACCTGTGTACAGGTCCCAATTTCTGAGCATCGCATCTGATTAGTTTCAACCCTTCAGTGTTGCAACTTGATAATGCAACTTCCGAGCGGCTTCAAACTTAATGTGCTGGTGTATTTTAGGATAATGGTCTCTCTGAGATAACAAGAGACTGCCTTGTTAGCTGACCTTCACAGCTGGTGTTTCTTAATAGAAGGTTACAAATAGAACTGATCTGTGTACGTCCTAATTTACTACTAATCGTGTGTATTGACGTTCAAGGACCGTGGTTATGCAATACTGGGATACCATTCTTGGATCACTGACGTACAGGTGACTGTGGTTATGCAATACTGGGATACCATTCTTGGATCACTGACGTACAGGGGACTGTGGTTATGCAATACTGGGATACCATTCTTGGATCACTGACGTACAGGTGACTGTGGTTATGCAATACTGGGATACCATTCTTGGATCACTGACGTACAGGTGACTGTGGTTATGCAATACTGGGATACCATTCTTGGATCACTGACGTACAGGGGACTGTGGTTATGCAATACTGGGATACCATTCTTGGATCACTGACGTACAGGTGACTGTGGTTATGCAATACTGGGATACCATTCTTGGATCACTGACGTACAGGTGACTGTGGTTATGCAATACTGGGATACCATTCTTGGATCACTGACGTACAGGTGACTGTGGTTATGCAATACTGGGATACCATTCTTGGATCACTGACGTACAGGGGACTGTGGTTATGCAATACTGGGATACCATTCTTGGATCACTGAAGTACAGGTGACTGTGGTTATGCAATACTGGGATACCATTCTTGGATCACTGACGTACAGGTGACTGTGGTTATGCAATACTGGGATACCATTCTTGGATCACTGACGTACAGGTGACTGTGGTTATGCAATACTGGGATACCATTCTTGGATCACTGACGTACAGGTGACTGTGGTTATGCAATACTGGGATACCATTCTCGGATCAATGACGTACAGGGGACTGTGGTTATGCAATACTGGGATACCATTCTCGGATCAATGACGTACAGGTGACTGTGGTTATGCAATACTGGGATACCATTCTCGGATCAATGACGTACAGGTGACTGTGGTTATGCAATACTGGGATACCATTCTCGGATCAATGACGTACAGGTGACTGTGGTTATGCAATACTGGGATACCATTCTCGGATCAATGACGTACAGGTGACTGTGGTTATGCAATACTGGGATACCATTCTCGGATCAATGACGTACAGGGGACTGTGGTTATGCAATACTGGGATACCATTCTCGGATCAATGACGTACAGGGGACTGTGGTTATGCAATACTGGGATACCATTCTCGGATCAATGACGTACAGGGGACTGTGGTTATGCAATACTGGGATACCATTCTCGGATCAATGACGTACAGGGGACTGTGGTTATGCAATACTGGGATACCATTCTCGGATCACTGACTTACAGGGGACTGTGGTTACGCAATATTGGGATACCATTCTCGGATCAATGACGTACAGGGGACTGTGGTTATGCAATACTGGGATACCATTCTCGGTTCAATGACGTACAGGGGACTGTGGTTATGCAATACTGGGATACCATTCTCGGATCAATGACGTACAGGGGACTGTGGTTACGCAATATTGGGATACCATTCTCGGATCAATGACGTACAGGGGACTGTGGCTATGCAATACTGGGATACGATTCTTGGATCACTGACGTACGGGGGACCATGGTTACGCAATACTGGGATACCACTTTCGGATCACTGACGTACAGGGGACTGTGGTTATGCAATATTGGGATACCATTCTTGGATTACTGACGTACAGGGGACTGTGGTTATGCAATACTGGGATACCATTCTCTGATCAATGACGTACAGGTGACTGTGGTTATGCAATACTGGGATACCATTCTCGGATCAATGACGTACAGGGAACTGTGGTTATGCAATACTGGGATACCATTCTCGGATCAATGACGTACAGGGAACTGTGGTTATGCAATACTGGGATACCATTCTCGGATCAAGTGACGTATACAAGGTGACTAGTGATGTGGTTATGCAATACTGGGATACCATTCTCGGATCAATGACGTACAGGTGACTGTGGTTTATGCAATACTGGGATACCATTCTCGGATCACTGACGTACAGGTGACTGTGGTTATGCAATACTGGGATACCATTCTCGGATCAATGACGTACAGGTGACTGTGGTTATGCAATACTGGGATACCATTCTCGGATCAATGACGTACAGGTGACTGTGGTTATGCAATACTGGGATACCATTCTCGGATCAATGACGTACAGGTGACTGTGGTTATGCAATACTGGGATACCATTCTCGGATCAATGACGTACAGGGAACTGTGGTTATGCAATACTGGGATACCATTCTCGGATCAATGACGTACAGGGAACTGTGGTTATGCAATACTGGGATACCATTCTCGGATCAATGACGTACAGGTGACTGTGGTTATGCAATACTGGGATACCATTCTCGGATCAATGACGTACAGGTGACTGTGGTTATGCAATACTGGGATACCATTCTCGGATCAATGACGTACAGGTGACTGTGGTTATGCAATACTGGGATACCATTCTCTGATCAATGACGTACAGGGAACTGTGGTTATGCAATACTGGGATACCATTCTCGGATCAATGACGTACAGGGAACTGTGGTTATGCAATACTGGGATACCATTCTCGGATCAATGACGTACAGGTGACTGTGGTTATGCAATACTGGGATACCATTCTCGGATCAATGACGTACAGGGGACTGTGGTTATGCAATACTGGGATACCATTCTCGGATCAATGACGTACAGGTGACTGTGGTTATGCAATACTGGATACCATTCTCGATCACTGACGTACAGGGTACTGTGGTTATGCAATACTGGGATACCATTCTCTGATCAATGACGTACAGGGAACTGTGGTTATGCAATACTGGGATACCATTCTCGGATCAATGACGTACAGGGAACTGTGGTTATGCAATACTGGGATACCATTCTCGGATCAATGACTACAGTGACTGTGGTTATGCAATACTGGGATACCATTCTCGGATCAATGACATACAGGGGACTGTGGTTATGCAATACTGGGATACCATTCTCGGATCACTGACGTACAGGTGACTGTGGTTATGCAATACTGGGATACCATTCTCGGATCACTGACGTACAGGTGACTGTGGTTATGCAATACTGGGATACCATTCTCTGATCAATGACGTACAGGTGACTGTGGTTATGCAATACTGGGATACCATTCTTGGATCACTGACGTACAGGGGACTGTGGTTATGCAATACACTGATACCTTTCTGGGATCGCGCAGTGACTGATTCATCTAGTTAATAGAGGAGTTGAGACTTACCGGGTTGTTGACCCTGACGTTGTCAAGGTCACACTTGACAGCGACGGTGTCAGCAGGAGAGTCCCTGGGTCTGATCCACTGGTAGTGAGCAATGTAACCCATGTTAGCCAGGGACTCCACGTCTTGTCTAGCCATGTCTGCCGCCGCCAACACTGGCTCCACGCCCAGCTTCCTCCCTCCCTCGATACCTGAAAAACACATGTTTACATAACAATGTGTAAAAAACCACAGAAAGGGGGGGTTGAATGATAGCTCTAGGTCTTTCGTGTTGCAATCAACACATCAGGAGCTTGCAATGTTGCAGAAAAGAGGAGGTCCAAACAAATACGTTCAGAGTTTTTTGCTCGTGCAATATATATATATATATATATAATATATATATATATATATATATATATATATATATATATATATATATATATATATTTCAACAAGTCGGCCGTCTCCCACCGAGGCAGGGTGACCCAAAATGAAAGAAAATCCCCAAAAAGAAAATACTTTCGTCATCATTCAACACTTTCACATCACTCACACATAATCACTGTTTTTGCAGAGGTGCTCAGAATACAACAGTTTAGAAGTATATACGTATAAAATTATACAATACGTCCCTCCAAACTGCCAATATCTCAAACTCCTCCTTTAGAGTGCAGGCATTGTACTTCCCATTTCCTGTACTCAAGTTTGGCTATACAAAAGTAACTGGTTTCCCTGAATCCCTTCACTAAATATTACCCTGCTCACACTCCAACAGATCGTCAGGTCCCAAATACCATTTGTCTCCATTCACTCCTATCTAACACGCTCATGCACGCTTGCTGGAAGTTCAAGCCCCTCGCCCACAAAACCTCCTTTACCCCCTCCCTCCAACCTTTTCGAGGACGACCCCTAACCCGCCTTCCTTCCCCTACAGATTTATACGCTCTCCATGTCATTCTACTTTGATCCATTCTCTCTAAATGACCAAACCACCTCAACAACCCCTCTTCAGCCCTCTGATACTTTTATTAACTCCACACCTTCTCATAATTTCCACACTCCGAATTTTCTGCATAATATTTACACCGCACATTGCCCTTAGACAGGACATCTCCACTGCCTCCAACCGTCTCCTCGCTGCTGCATTTACCACCCAAGCTTCACATCCATATAAGAGTGTTGGTACTACTATACTTTCATACATTCCCTTCTTTGCCTCCATAGATAACGTTTTTTGACTCCACATATACCTCAACGCACCACTCACCTTTTTTCCCTCATCAATTCTATGATTAACCTCATCCTTCATAAATCCATCCGCCGACACGTCAACTCCCAAGTATTTGAAAACATTCACTTCTTCCATACTCCTCCCAAATTTGATATCCAATTTTTCTTTATCTAAATAATTTGATACCCTCATCACCTTACTCTTTTCTATGTTCACTTTCAACTTTCTACCTTTACACACACTCCCAAACTCGTCCACTTCTTGGCAATTTTCTTCTTATTCTTTTTAGTAATTATTACAGGAAAAGGGGTTACTAGCCCATTGTTCCCGGCATTTTAGTTGACTTTTACAACACGCATGACTTACGGAGGAAACATTCTTATTCCACTTCCCCACGGATATATATAATGTATATATATATATATATATATATATATATATATATATATATATATATATTATAATATGTAATATATATAATATATATGGAAAACATTGTTTTGAAGAAAAATAATCTCTGTAAAAGAATCGGACTACCAAAGTTATAAGAACAACAAAATATCAGAATTAAGTCGGTTGACCAAAAGGGAAAATAACAGGAAGGTCAGACTACCTCAGAGAAACAACGGCAAGGTCAAATTATATCATGTGTACAAGGTCAAGCTTCCTCGCTGGTATGATACAAGAACTACACTACCTCGCTGGTATGATACAAGAACTACACTACCTCGCTGGTATGATACAAGAACTACACTACCTCGCTGGCATGATACAAGAACTACACTACCTCGCTGGTATGATACAAGAACTACACTACCTCACTGGTATGATACAAGAACTACACTACCTCGCTGGCATGATACAAGAACTACACTACCTCGCTGGTATGATACAAGAACTACACTACCTCACTGGTATGATACAAGAACTACACTACCTCGCTGGTATGATACAAGAACTACACTACCTCGCTGGTATGATACAAGAACTACGCTACCTCGCTGGTATGATACAAGAACTACGCTACCTCGCTGGTATGATACAAGAACTACACTACCTCGCTGGTATGATACAAGAACTACGCTACCTCGCTGGTATGATACAAGAACTACACTACCTCGCTGGTATGATACAAGAACTAACACTACCTCGCTGGTATGATACAAGAACTACACTACCTCGCTGGTATGATACAAGAACTACACTACCTCGCTGGTATGATACAAGAACTACACTACCTCGCTGGTATGATACAAGAACTACACTACCTCGCTGGTATGATACAAGAACTACACTACCTCGCTGTATGATACAAGAACTACACTACCTCGCTGGTATGATACAAGAACTACACTACCTCGCTGGTATGATACAAGAACTACACTACCTCGCTGGTATGATACAAGAACTACGCTACCTCGCTGGTATGATACAAGAACTACACTACCTCGCTGGTATGATACAAGAACTACACTACCTCGCTGGTATGATACAAGAACTACACTACCTCGCTGGTATGATACAAGAACTACACAAACCTCGCTGGTATGATACAAGAACTACACTACCTCGCTGGTATGATACAAGAACTACAACTACCTCGCTGGCATGATACAAGAACTACACTACCTCGCTGGTATGATACAAGAACTACACTACCTCGCTGGTATGATACAAGAACTACGCTACCTCGCTGGTATGATACAAGAACTACACTACCTCGCTGGTATGATACAAGAACTACACTACCTCGCTGGTATGATACAAGAACTACACTACCTCGCTGGTATGATACAAGAAACTACACTACCTCGCTGGTATGATACAAGAACTACACTACCTCGCTGGCATGATACAAGAACTACACTACCTCGCTGGTATGATACAAGAACTACACTACCTCGCTGGTATGATACAAGAACTACACTACCTCGCTGGCATGATACAAGAACTACACTACCTCGCTGGTATGATACAAGAACTACACTACCTCTACTGGTATGATACAAGAACTACACTACCTCGCTGGTATGATACAAGAACTACACTACCTCGCTGGTATGATACAAGAACTACACTACCTCGCTGGTATGATACAAGAACTACACTACCTCGCTGGTATGATACAAGAACTACACTACCTCGCTGGTATGATACAAGAACTACACTACCTCGCTGGTATGATACAAGAACTACACTACCTCGCTGGCATGATACAAGAACTACACTACCTCGCTGGTATGATACAAGAACTAACCTACCTCGCTGGTATGATACAAGAACTACACTACCTCGCTGGTATGATACAAGAACTACACTACCTCGCTGGTATGATACAAGAACTACACTACCTCGCTGGTATGATACAAGAACTACGCTACCTCGCTGGTATGATACAAGAACTACACTACCTCGCTGGTATGATAACAAGAACTACGCTACCTCGCTGGTATGATACAAGAACTACGCTACCTCGCTGGTATGATACAAGAACTACACTACCTCGCTGGTATGATACAAGAACTACACTACCTCACTGGTATGATACAAGAACTACACTACCTCGCTGGTATGATACAAGAACTACACTACCTCGCTGGTATGATACAAGAACTACACTACCTCGCTGGTATGATACAAGAACTACACTACCTCGCTGGTATGATACAAGAACTACACTACCTCGCTGGTATGATACAAGAACTACACTACCTCGCGGTATGATACAAGAACTACACTACCTCGCTGGCATGATACAAGAACTACACTACCTCGCTGGTATGATACAAGAACTACGCTACCTCGCTGGTATGATACAAGAACTACACTACCTCGCTGGTATGATACAAGAACTACACTACCTCGCTGGTATGATACAAGAACTACACTACCTCGCTGGTATGATACAAGAACTACGCTACCTCGCTGGTATGATACAAGAACTACACTACCTCGCTGGTATGATACAAGAACTACGCTACCTCGCTGGTATGATACAAGAACTACGCTACCTCGCTGGTATGATACAAGAACTACACTACCTCGCTGGTATGATACAAGAACTACACTACCTCGCTGGTATGATACAAGAACTACACTACCTCGCTGGTATGATACAAGAACTACACTACCTCGCTGGTATGATACAAGAACTACACTACCTCGCTGGCTTTGATACAAGAACTACACTACCTCGCTGGTATGATACAAGAACTACACTACCTCGCTGGTATGATACAAGAACTACACTACCTCGCCAGAGAAAGCACATACCTAACTGAAGGTTGGACTCCCAGTTCTTGGGGTCTGAGTTGAGGTTCTTGTAGCCAGGGACTGGTCCACCCAGCTGCTTCACCAGCCTCGTCAGGTTGAGCCCGTCGTTCCAGTCACTCTGTAAGAGACAGTGGTCAAGTTTACATGATGGAACACTATGGTGGGCACATCCACTTATTCTCATTCTGTATATTAACCCATTGTACAAGCAAACCGAAGTCTTCGCTTCAATGACACTGACTGCGAGAGTAATCCATCTGATAATAGTTACTAGAGTGATTTCTCAGTTCCCTGACAATATGAGAAATAACGGAACGCTAGAGAATTTACTATTTTATCGCAGTGGTTACTTTGTATATTGTGATATCACCTGTTTACTGTGATCATATTGTATACACTGTGTAATATAATGACAGTGCTTAAGTTTTTGTTCCATTCATCCTTCAAGCTTAGTATCTGTTCATTATATGATGAACCTAGAGGAACTAACATATACAAGTATTTTAATGTTTTTGGCAGAGTAATAATTCACATTTTAATGGAAAAACTGGTTTTAGTTGAATCAATGAAAACAGTAAACTTGTATGTACTGAACTGCATAAAATACAACACGGTTTTGACGTTATAAATTAGTCTCACAGTGTCTGTGAGACGACTGAAGTGCTAGACTGTGTTGCGTTCCTCACGGTGACACTGACTTGTGTGAACACACTTACCGTAAAGTTCCTAATCTTACACACACTTACCGTGAAGTTCCTAATCTTACACACACTTACCGTGAAGTTCCTAATCTTACACACACTTACCGTCAAGTTCCTAATCTTACACACACTTACCGTGAAGTTCCTAATCTTACACACACTTACCGTCAAGTTCCTAATCTTACACACACTTACCGTCAAGTTCCTAATCTTACACACACTTACCGTGGAGTTCCTAATCTTACACACACTTACCGTCAAGTTCCTAATCTTACACACACTTACCGTGAAGTTCCTAATCTTACACACATTACCGTGAAGTTCCTAATCTTACACACACTTACCGTCAAGTTCCTAATCTTACACACACTTACCGTCAAGTTCCTAATCTTACACACACTTACCGTGAAGTTCCTAATCTTACACACACTTACCGTCAAGTTCCTAATCTTACACACACTTACCGTGAAGTTCCTAATCTTACACACACTTACCGTGATGTTCGTAATCTTACACACACACACACTTACCGTGAAGCTCCTAATCTTACACACACTTACCGTCAAGTTCCGAATCTTACACACACACACACACACACACACACACACACACACACACACACACACACACACACACACACACACACACACACACACACTTACCGTGAAGCTCCTAATCTTACACACACTTACCGTGAAGTTCCTAATCTTACACACACTTACCGTGATGTTCGTAATCTTACACACACTTACCGTGAAGTTCCTAATCTTACACACACTTATCGTGAAGTTCCTAATCTTACACACACTTACCGTGAAGTTCCTAATCTTACACACACTTACCGTGAAGTTCCTAATCTTACACACACTTATCGTGAAGTTCCTAATCTTACACACACTTACCGTGAAGTTCCTAATCTTACACACACTTACCGTGAAGTTCCTAATCTTACACACACTTACCGTGAAGTTCCTAATCTTACACACACTTACCGTGAAGTTCCTAATCTTACACACACTTACCGTGAAGTTCCTAATCTTACACTTACCGTAAAGTTCCGAATCTTACACACACTTACCGTGAAGTTCCTAATCTTACACACACTTACCGTCAAGTTCCTAATCTTACACACACTTACCGTCAAGTTCCTAATCTTACACACACTTACCGTCAAGTTCCTAATCTTACACACACTTACCGTCAAGTTCCTAATCTTACACACACTTACCGTGAAGTTCCTAATCTTACACACACTTACCGTGATGTTCGTAATCTTACACACACACACACACACTTACCGTGAAGCTCCTAATCTTACACACACTTACCGTCAAGTTCCTAATCTTACACACACTTACCGTGAAGTTCCTAATCTTACACACACTTACCGTGAAGTTCCTAATCTTACACAAAACTTACCGTGAAGTTCCTAATCTTACACACACTTACCGTGATGTTCGTAATCTTACACACACACACACTTTCCGTGAAGCTCCTAATCTTACACACACTTACCGTCAAGTTCCTAATCTTACACACACTTACCGTGAAGTTCCTAATCTTACACACACTTACCGTGAAGTTCCTAATCTTACACACACTTACCGTGATGTTCGTAATCTTACACACACACACACACTTACCGTGAAGCTCCTAATCTTACACACACTTACCGTCAAGTTCCTAATCTTACAAAACACTTACCGTGAAGTTCTAATCTTACACACACTTACCGTCAAGTTCCTAATCTTACACACACTTACCGTCAAGTTCCTAATCTTACACACACTTACCGTCAAGTTCCTAATCTTACACACACTTACCGTGAAGTTCCTAATCTTACACACACTTACCGTGATGTTCGTAATCTTACACACACACACACACTTACCGTGAAGCTCCTAATCTTACACACACTTACCGTCAAGTTCCTAATCTTACACACACTTACCGTGAAGTTCCTAATCTTACACACACTTACCGTGAAGTTCCTAATCTTACACACACTTACCGTGAAGTTCCTAATCTTACACACACTTACCGTGATGTTCGTAATCTTACACACACACACACTTACCGTGAAGCTCCTAATCTTACACACACTTACCGTCAAGTTCCTAATCTTACACACACTTACCGTGAAGTTCCTAATCTTACACACACTTACCGTGAAGTTCCTAATCTTACACACACTTACCGTGATGTTCGTAATCTTACACACACACACACACTTACCGTGAAGCTCCTAATCTTACACACACTTACCGTCAAGTTCCTAATCTTACACACACTTACCGTGAAGTTCCTAATCTTACACACACTTACCGTGAAGTTCCTAATCTTACACACACTTACCGTGAAGTTCCTAATCTTACACACACTTACCGTGAAGTTCCTAATCTTACACACACTTACCGTGAAGTTCCTAATCTTACACACACCGTGAAGTTCCTAATCTTACACACACTTACCGTGAAGTTCCTAATCTTACACACACTTACCGTGAAGTTCCTAATCTTACGCACACTTACCATGAAGTTCCTAATCTTACACACACTTACCGTGAAGTTCCTAATCTTACACACACTTACCGTAAAGTTCCGAATCTTACACACACTTACCGTGAAGTTCCGAATCTTACACACACTTACCGTGAAGTTCCGAATCTTACACACACCGTGAAGTTCCGAATCTTACACACACTTACCGTGAAGTTCCGAATCTTGCACACACTTACCGTGAAGTTCCTAATCTTTCTGTCAGGCAGCTGTTTCTGCACCCAGTTGAGGGTGGCTTTGTAGCCTGGCCCGCCCTCCTTCATGAAGTACGAGAGGTAGGTCATGCCAGAGAGGTCGTCCAGGTAGGGAGAGGCCAGGATCTCTGGGTCAAGCACCATAGGGATGTTGAACTCTGCTCTGGCGATCTCCATGGCATTCTTGCAGTTTTCAACCCTGCAACCACAACACACTTAGCTTAAACCAGTCGTATTACTACGACCACATTAGCTTACAAGATGCAAACCAACCACGTGGGAAGCTGAATGATAGCTCTAGGCCTTTCGTGTTCCAATCAACACATCAGAAGTTTACAATGTTGCAGAAAAGAAGAGAGGGTCCAAGCAGATACGATCACAGGGAACGCCTTTGCTGGAGTGAGCAAAGGCGTTCCCTGTGGTAGTATCTGCTTGAACCTCCTTCTCTTTTCTGCATTACTGCAAGCTCCTGATATATTCATTGCAACACGTAAGGTTTGGAGCTATCACTCAACTCCTCCCCCCCCAGGTTGGTTTGCATCTTGTACCCCTTGTTCACGATATTTGCATACTTTAAATCTATATGTGCAAATGTTAAGTGTTATATCGTTATTAGTAGTCAGAGATGAGAGGTGGTACTAACGAGTTACGAGGGTTGAGATTCCTCCAGTTAGTGTGGAGCCCAGGCTTGCAATAGTCCAGCAGAGCGCTCAGGTACACTCCACTATTCCAGTCTGACGTGAAGTTTTGAATGCGACAGTCTGGTAACACTGCCTGCAACACCACAACCACGTGTTAGCAACAATGTGTATTTCATATATAAATTAATTCAGACTTACATAAAATGGGACAGCAGAACGTGGTATCCTTCGTCAAATATACGGAAAGAGCGTAGTGACTCCATACACACTGATGAGCACCACACAAGTGAAACAACTCAAATTTGTGTGAAAAGTGTTTGCAAGTCTCCTAGCACCTCCTGTTGCCCCTGCTTACCTAGAATTGCTTATAATCATACCTGGATAACCATAATTTTTAAAGGGATGGACCGGTAAGCCAACGGAAGACTTCGTCACATGACCCAAAGCTCCAGCTCCAGGTCATAGTAATAATAATATATTTTTATTTACCACAGGTACATGTACAGTCCTAGCTGACATCAATAACATACTACTATATAGGAAGCTGCTTGTTATGCAGAGCAATTTGGGCAAATTAGGTCAGTTTTGTCCCAGGATGCGACCCACACCAGTCGACTAACACCCAGGTACCAATTTTACTGATGGGGAACATAGACAACAGGTGTAAAGAAACACGTCCAATGTTTCTAATCTGGCTGGGAATCGAACCCAGGCCCTCGCCGTGTGAAGCGAGAGCGTTAACCACCAGGCGTCAGGAAACGCTTGTCCTGTTTCCTGACAATCACCCTGCGTACCTATCGGTAAATTGAGAATAAGAATCGAGTGTTGTGGGTTTCATTTTAAGTGAGGACCTAATTACCTCAATGAAAATAAGCAACACCTTTGGGTTAGCCTGGGTTATTACCTTTCCTGGCTTTTTAACCCAAGTAAAGGCTTTCTAGGTTAAAACCTTCCTAAAAAGCTAACACTCTCTGTAATACTCATCTAGCAGTAGGTAGGTACCGGAGTTAGTATACTGCTGTAGGTGGGATAGTGAAAATGTTAGAATAAAAATAAGTGCCATAAAATTCACTAGTCTGCCATGCACTGGACCTTCTTACAGAAAACCAGGTCTGGCACCCCTAACTTAAGTAATTAAGAGGAAATGGTATGGTGATACCGACAAGATGTGGAAAAAGACACTTATGTACAGTTCAGGACATTTATTAAAGGAAACGTTTCGCCACGAGTGGCTTCTTCAGTCCTAATACAGAGAAAACTAAGAAAACACACATATATATAGTGGCGGGAGTCAGGTGAGGTGATGCGTGGGTAGAGGTGGTAGTAGTAGTAGTAGTAGTAGTAGTAGTAGTAGTAGTAGTAGTAGTAGTAGTAGTAGTAGTAGTAGTAGTAGTAATGGAACTAAGGAGGTGAGGTAAGAGAGGGACCTGCTGGCATCAAGTAACACCAGTTCCCAGGATGGGTAATATCCTCTTGCTTAGTAATTTTGAAATACTGTAACTACCGGATTTTTGCTTTATAGTGTTACTGACAGAAATTAGTGCAGCTTCAATGCATTTTCTCCGTCTTAAGTCGTCTTCTTTAATAACTAGTTTAGCTTCATTGAATTTCATGAGGTGTCCCAACATCGTCTCTATGTTAACACATGCGTTTTTGGCGGTCATCATTTCTGCAAGCATTTTTGTGTTCTGCTATCCTAATGTCCCAGAGTTCTGGCTGTTTTCCCCTACATATACTTTGTCACACCCCCCACATGGTATAGTGTAGATTCTGGCACAAGTGCAGGAATCTACACTATACCATGTGGGGGGTGTGACAAAGTATATGTAGGGGAAACAGCCAGAACTCTGGACATTAGGATAGCAGAACACAAAAATGCTTGCAGAAATGATGACCGCAAAAACGCATGTGTTCAACATAGAGACGATGTTGGACACCTCATGAAATTCAATGAAGCTAAACTAGTTATTAAAGAAGACGACTTAAGACGGAGAAAATGCATTGAAGCTGCACTAATTTCTGTCAGTAACACTATAAAGCAAAAATCCGGTAGTTACAGTATTTCAAAATTACTAAGCAAGAGGATATTACCCATCCTGGGAACTGGTGTTACTTGATGCCAGCAGGTCCCTCTCTTACCTCACCTCCTTAGTTCCATTACTACTACTACTACTACTACTACTACTACTACTACTACTACTACTACCACCTCTACCCACGCATCACCTCACCTGACTCCCGCCACTATATATATGTGTGTTTTCTTAGTTTTCTCTGTATTAGGACTGAAGAAGCCACTCGTGGCGAAACGTTTCCTTTAATAAATGTCCTGAACTGTACATAAGTGTCTTTTTCCACATTAAGTAATTAAGTTTATTTCAGCACAGGTACACAGAAGTACAATTATCACATTGTATAAATTGCCATTGAGCTCCTTAAATCTTGTACCCCAGAATGCGACCCACACTAGTCGACTAACACCCAGGTACCTACTTGCTTGCTAGGTAAAAGGGGACAACAGGTGTAAGGAAACACGCCCAGTGTTGCCACCCTTACGAACATAAGAAAGAAGGAACACTGCAGCAGGCCTACTGGTCCATACGAGGCAAGTCCAAGTCTCCTACCGGCTTAAGCCAATGACCCAACCTAGTCAGGTCAGGTCACATTCACTTAAAGAAGGAGCACGGCATCAGACCTAGTAGCACAAAGCATACCACGGACGGGAATATCGCGGGTTCTATCCCCGCCCGTGGTATGGTTTGTTTGCAATCGTGTCATTACGATTTCGAGAGTCTAATAGCACAAACTAGTCAGGTCCAACTCACACCCACCCACACCCATTCCTGTATTTATTTAACTTATTTTTTAAAATAATACACAACGTTTTTCGCTTCTATGAAGTACTCGGGAGTTTGTTCCACTCATCCACAACTCTATTACCAAACCAGTGCTTTCCTATATCCTTCCTGAATCTGAATTTTTCCAACTTAAAACCATTGCTGCGAGTCCTGTCTTGGCTATATATTTATTCCTGCTTTCCATTTATACACTTCAATCATATCCCCCTAAATCTACCGCCTTTCTAGAGAGTGCAGATTCAGGGCCCTTAGTCTATCCTCATAGGGAAAATTTCTGATACACTGAATCAACTTTATCATCCTCTTTTGTACGTTTTCCAGAGCATTTATATCTATTCTGTAATACGGTGACCAGAACTGTGCAGCATAATCTAAATGAGGCCTAACCAAGGATATATAGAGTTGAAAAGCAACCTGAGGACTCCAATTATTTATGCTTCTTGCTATGAAGCCAAGAATTCTGGACGCTTTATTGCGAACACTAATGCACTGTTGTCTTGGTGTTAGATTACTGCTAACCAGAACTCCTAAAACTTTTCCGCAATCAGTAATATGAAGATCTACATTATTTAGTTTATATGTGGCATGTTTTTTTTTTCCTGTCCAACGTTTAGAACTTTGTATTTGTCTATATTAAACTACATCTGCCACTTCTCTGACCACTGCATCAGTCTATTCAAATCATCCTGGAGTGCTCTAATGTCCTCGTCAGAATGAATTCGACGGCCTATTTTGGTGTTATCGGCAAACTTGCTAATGCCGCTATTTATTCCCTCATCTATGTCGTTTATGTAGATTGTGAACAATAGGGGGCCCAACACTGACCCTTGTGGAACACCGCTAGTGACGCTTCCCCACTCTTATTTCTCCCCATTTAGGCAAATTTTCTGCTGCCTATCTGTCAACCATGCCTCTATCCAGGAAAAAATTCTCATTCTGTGTGCTTTAATTTTACTCAATAGTCTGATGTAAGACTTTCTCAAAAGCCTTACTGAAGTCCATATACACAATATCATATTCATTATCATGATCTACCTCCTCAAATACCTTAGTATAAAAAGTTAATACATTCGTAAGGCAGGAACGCCCCTTTGTAAAACCATGCTGAGATTCGTCGATCAATTTGTTTTTCAAGGTGGCTACGAACTGCCTCGGCACTTACTGATTCCATAAATTTCCCACTATGGAGGTAATGCTTATTGGTCTATAGTTTGAAGCTAAGGACCTGTTACCTGTTTTGAAAATAGGTATCACATTTGTCATTTTCCACTTATCTGGCACCATGCCAGTTTGTAGTGATATGTTGAAAAGATTAGCCAGAGGTTTGCTAAGCTCCTCTTTACATTCCTTTAGAACCCTTGCATACAGTTCATCAGGGCCTGGGGATTTGTTAGGTTTTAATTTATCTATTTGTCTAAGGACCATGTCACTTGTGACCCTAATCGTGCATAGTTTACTATCGTCCTGTTCTTCATAATTTATTATTTCTGAAATATCGCTAGTATCTTCTTGTGTAACAACTGAGAGGAAGTGTTAAAAATTCTACACATTTCCTTATTATTGTCGGTGAGCTGACCCGAGAAACTTTTGAGTGGGCCTATCTTGTCCCTAATCTTACTTCTGTATACCTGAAAGAATCCTGTTGGGTTAGTCTTCGATTCTCTTGCAGCTTTAACCTCATAATCTCTCTTTGCTTCTCTTATTCCCTATTTTATTTCTCTCTTTAACTGAATATATTGATTTCTTAATTGCCCATCTCCTCTTCTCATTTGCCTATATATGCCTCTCCTGCTGAGGATCGAACCGCGGACACTTAGCGTGCGAAGCAAGAGCGCTAACTACCAGGCCACGGGACACCATGAAGACACTGCAGTGGATTCGAAACAGATCACTACTCTCCTAACTCAACAATAAGTAGGATAGTGTTACAGGTGGATGCAGCAACGGTGGCCAGAATATACCAGCCACTAACTAACATGTGTTGGAAACAGCTGACAGCCGACCATCAGGCAGACAGACCTGTAGAACACAACGCCTGGTACACCTCTCTCACCACCAGTCAACCTACTTAACAACCTCCATAAACAACCACCAACTACACACACACAATCTTACAAATGACTTTAGAACCTAACCTGGTGAACTCTAGGATGAGCCACCACCTGCACCTGGTGAACACCAGAAGAACCACCACCTGCAGCTGAACTCTAGGATGAGCCACCACCTGCACCTGGTGAACACCAGAAGAACCACCACCTGCAGCTGAACTCTAGGA